TGGAACAAGTTGTAAGATGCAAACATTAATTAAAGGAAACCAGGAGTAGCTACATTAATGTCAGGTAAAATACACTTCAGAACAGAGTAAGCTATCAGAGGCAGAGATGGACATTACATAATGATAGCAGTCAATCCACTTAAGAAGACAAACCTAAAATGTATGCACCAAACAAGAGAGCTGCAAAATATGTGAAGCAAAACCTGATACAACTGAAAGGAAAAATAGACAAATTGATAATTATTTAGAGATTTCAATACTCCTCTCTCAACAACTAATGAAACAACTAGATGGGAAATCATTAAGGATACAAAAACTTTTTTTTTAAGTCTATTTATTTTTGACAGAGAGAGAGAGAGCAAGTGCGAGCTAGGGAGGGGCAGAGAGAGAGAGGAGACACAGAATCGGAAGCAGGCTCCAGGCTCCGAGCTGTCAGCACAGAGCCAGCCCAAAGCAGGGCTCAAACTCACAAACTGTGAGACGATGACCTGGGCCGAAGTCAGACTTGCTTAACCAACTGAGCCACCCAGGCGCCCCAAAGATACAGAAAAACTTAACAACACTATCAACCAACATGATCTAATCGACATTTCTGCAATTATGTCAACATAACTGCACCCAATAACAGTACGATTCACATTGTTTTTCAAGTGCCCACGGAATGTACACCAAGACAGATCATATCCTGGGCCATAAAACAAACCTTAACAATTTTAAAACAACTAAAGTAATAGTTTGTTCTCTGAACATAACGGGATCAAACTAGAAATAAAAAACAGACTTAAAAAAAAAAAGATTAAAAAAAAAAGTGGGGCACCTGGATGGCTCAGTCAGTTAAGTGTCCAACTCTTGGTTTTGGCTCAGGTCATGACCTCACGGTTCATTAGAGCCCAGAACTGGGCTCTGTGCTAACAGCACGAAGCCTGCTTCGGATTCTCTTTCTCCTACTCTCTCTGCTCCTCCCCTGCTTGCTTGTTCTCTCTCTCTCAAAATACATAAACTTAAGAAAAAAAACAAAAAACAGAAAGAAAATAGGAAAATCTCCAAACACTTGGAAACTAAGTAATAAATGTCTAATGATCTGTGGATCAAAAAGGAAGTCTCAATAGAATTTTTTTAAAAAATATATTAAGTTGAATGAAAATGAGGATAGAACATAGCACAATTTGTGAGACATAGTTAAAGTAATACTGACAGGGAAATTTATAGCACTGAATGCATACATTAAACAAGCAGGGAAGTCTCAAATGGTAATTGAAGCTCCACTCCAAAAACAGAAAAAGAAAAGGAAAATAAAACCGGGGCAAGCAGAAGGAAGGGGATAATAAGGAGTAGAAATCAATGAAATTTAATAATTTTTAAAATTTATTATCTAGCTAGCTAGCTACCTCTTTGAGAGAGAGACAGAAAGAGAGCGTGCACACGTAAGTAGGACAGAGTGGGGCAGGGGGAGAGAATCTTAAGAAGGCTCCACACTCAGCACGAAACCCAACGCAGGGCTTGATCTCATGACTGTGAGATCATAACTGGAGCCAAAATCAAGAGTCGGGACACTTAACCGACTGAGCCACCCAGGCACTCCTGAAATCAATGAAGTTTTTAAAACAGAAGACAAAGAGCTGATTATTTAAGAAGATAAAGCAGACAAATCTCAAGCAAGCCAGGTAGAGAAAAAAAGAAGACACACATTACCAGTATCAAGAATGAACAGGGAATAGCACTATACTTCTGCAACTATCAAAAGGATAAGAGAATACTACAAAGAACTCCACACACATAAATTTGACAACTTAGCTGAAACAGACCAAGTTCCTTGAAAAACACAAACTATCACAACTTACTCAATATAAAATAGAGAACTGGATTCATAATTTTAAAACTCCCTCAAAAAAGAATTTCCAGGCCAGTTACTGGGGAATTTTACTAAATATTTAAAAACTTAATACCAACTCTAAACAACCTCTATCAGAAAATAGTTGGAGGGAACACCTAACTCGTTTATAAAGTTAACATTATTACCCTGATATCAAAAGCACACAAATATAGTACCGAAAGAAAATTATAGACCAATATCCCTCATGAACATAGATGCAAAAAGCCTTAACAAAATATTAGCAAGTAGAATTCAATATTAAGAATTATATACCATGTCCGAGTGGAGTTTATCCCAGATTATCCAGGGATGCAAGGCTGATACAATATTTGTGAACAATCAATGTAATCTAACATATTAATAGGCTAAATAAGAAAGACCTCACAATCATATTAATTGGTGCAAAAATGCATTTGACAAAATTCAACATCTATTCATGACAAAAATTCTCAGAAAACTAGGAATGCCTCATTTTCAATAAAGAACATCTACCAAAAACCTAGAACTAACATTATACTTAATGATGAAAGACTGAATGTCTTTCTCCATCAGGAACAAAGCAAGAATATCTGCTCTCAGCATTCATTCAACACAGTGCCAAAAGTTTCAGACAGTACAATACAGCAAGAAAAAGAAATACAAGGCAGATAGATCAGAAAAGAAGAAATAACGCTAACCCTATTCACAGATGACATGAGTGCTGATATAGGGAATTTCAAGAAACCTAAAAACCCCTAAAACTGATAATTGCATTAAGCAATTTTGCAGGATAGAAGATAATTGTAACACCATTTACAATCGTGCCAAAGAAAATGAAATAGTTAGATGTAAATCTATAAACAGAAATTGTTTGCTGAAAAACTATAAAATGGTGATGAAAGAAATCAGAGATCAAAATAAATGGAGATATATAGTAAGATCCAACAGAGTAAAAAAAATCAATATAGTAAAGGTCAATTATCCTCAAAGTGATATATGAGTTTAATGTGATTCCTAGTAAGATCCCAGCAAGAACCTTTATAGCTATAGATAAGATTATCCTAAAACTTATATGGAAAGGCAAAGGAACAAGAAAAGCAAAAACAATTTTGAAAAAGAAGTGGAAGCAATCAGTCTAATCAATTTTAAAACTTATGCTATAGCTACAGTAATTGATATTACATACTATTGGCAAAGGAAGAGATAAATAGAACAAAGAAACAAAAGAGAGAACCCAGAAATAGATCAATCGCTCAAATGATATTTTGACAAAGGTATAAAAGTAATTGAATGTGGAAAAGACAGCTTTTTAACCAAAGGCTTAGAGCAACTAGAGAGCAACAGGTTAAAAAAAGAACCTCAATCTAATTCTCTCCATTTATATGAAAACAAACTTAAAATGGATCATGAACTTACATGTTAAACTAAAAAACTTCTAGTAGAAAACACAGAAGAAAACTGTCAGGACTGGAGACAAGCAGAATTCTCACACTTAAAACCGGCAACACAATCCATAAAAAGAAAAACTGGTTAAGTTGGACTTCATCGAAATTAAAAACCGCTGTTCTGCTGAAGTCAATGTGAATCAGATAAAAAGACAAACTACAGGTGGGACAAAATACTTGCCAACCACATGTCTGACAAAAGACTGGTATCTGGATTATATAAAGAACTCTCAAATACCAACAGGAAAACAAAGAAACAAACAATGCATTTAAAAAATGGGCAAAGGACACGAAGAAACATTTCACCGAAGAGGCTTCCAGGTAGCAATTAAACCTATAAAAAGATAAATGGTGACAACACTGAAAGCTAATAAAAGATGAGGAAGTGCACCACTCCTACATGGCCGGTGGGAATGTGAAGTGGTACAGCCACTCTGCAAACAGCTTGGCAGTTTTTTAAAAAAACTAAACACGCAACAACCGTATGACCCAGCAATCGTACTTCTGGACGTCTATCCCACAGAATTGGAAATGTACAGTCACACAACATCTGTATGCAAACGTTTACAGAGGTATCTGTAATAGTCGAAAACTGGGGACAATGCACATATCCTGCACATGGATGAATGGTAAAACAAAGTGGGACATCCATACCAAGGACTGCTATGCAGCAACGAAAAGGGAATTACTGTTACAGAAAACAACCTGGATCGGTATACAGGGAATTACGCTGCGTGACAAAAGCCAATCCCCAAAGGTCACACAGTGTATGTTTCCATTTAATATGTATATTCTTGGGGTGCCTGGGTGGCTCAGTCGGTTAAGTGTCCGACTTCAGCTCAGATCATGGTCTTGTGGTTTGTGGTTTCGAGCCCCACGTCGGGCTCTGTGCTGACAGCTCAGAGCCTGGAGCCTGCCTCTGATCCTGTGTCTGCCTTTCTCTCTGCTGGTCCCCTGCTTGTGCTCTCTCTCAAAAATAAATAAAAACATAAAAAAAAATTTTAAAGATAATGTATGTTCTTAAATTCTTATAGCTTATATCTTCTATCTAAAAAATAGTTTATTTATTTTTGAGAGAGCAAGTTGGGGAGGAACAGAGAGAGAGGGAGACAGAATCCTTAGCAGGCTCTGCACTGTCAGCACAGAGACCAATGTGGGGTCGAACTCACAAACAATGAGATCATGACCTGAGCTGAAATCAAGAGTTCAATGCTTAACTGACTGAGACACCCAAGCACCCCACCTCTTATTATATATCTTAAGTAATAATCTTAAAATGACAAATCATAGAAATGGAGAAGAGGTTAGTGGTTGCCATGGATTAAAGAGGAGGTGAAGGTAGGAGGGAAGTGAATGTGGCTGTAACGGGGCAACACGATGGACCTTTGTGGTCATGGAAACGTCCTATCTTGACTCTATCAATGTCAGCACCCTGGTTGTGATTCTGTACTACAGTTTTGCAAGATGTTCCCCTGGTGGGAAACCGGATAAAAAGTACGTGGGATCACTCTGTAAGGTATCTCACAAACACATCTAAAATCTATAGTTATATGAAAATCAAAAGCTCACTAGAATGAAAGTGCAATGCAGTCTGTATGTTGAGAATTTTTATAATAAAATCCCCAAGCCCACTGCCAAGATGGGGGTTTCTCTCTCGACACTAAGTAAGGACTGTGTGGACCAACACAGCACATGTGACTCACCATTTGTTTCTGCAGGCCATCTAACTTGTCTTCAGTGTTGTCTTCTTTATCCGTGTTGCCTCTAAATAAAAGTAAAATAAAAAGCATCACGCACCACCTAGGAGCTATTTTGCAACCAGGATGCTTGTAAGAAAACCATCTAAATCACTGACTACAAAAATATTAGTGGATCCCTTTTCCCACAGGCCTCAACATCTGTTGTTTTTTTTTTTTTTTCCTAGTGTCATAACGTCTACGGGCAAGGACCTCCACTCAGTACTAAGACTTCAGCATGAGACTCAGGATCTTCTCAGACAAGTTTAGAGGCCGGCTGTTCGACAGTGATACTGTCACAAACAAGAGCATTACTGCCCATCCAGAGTTTCCTGAACATGGGTCTTTGATGAAAGAAGAGACTCCAGAGGTTGAGGCCTGTGCAACAACCCCCCACCCCTAATCACAGTGGGGTGAAGCTTCATGCAGAATCCCTTACCTGGTGGCATTCACTTCCTTGGGAGGAAACGGGGCTGCCACTGCTATTAAGGAAAGACATTTTTCCCTCTTTCCCATCAGACACCTGTCTTGAGCTTAGCTGCCCAATGTCTTCTGTCCTGTGAGCTTAACTATTGCTGACGCCTGTTTTTCATGATTTGTCTTAAAACTAGCTTTGAAGTGTTCCTATCTCAGATACTCTTATTGTTGCTGCTCAGGTCCTGGAGGCAGTACAATCTCCCACCTTTACTGCTTAACCACACAAAAAAGAGCCACCCACAAAAATGTAAGCTTTCTGCCCCATTCTACCTCACCCACGTAGTGCCTTCCCCCCACATCCAGTATTAGTATCACCACTCGGGCTTCTGTTAACATCTTTCCAAATGTATCTTTATTATCTGCTCACAGGAAATTCTCTTTGGTACAGAGAATGTTACAGTAGCTTAAGTTTTCATTAGGGGTTAAGGACAGATGAAAAATGCTTTTCACTCTTTTGTTGGCTTTAACAGGTGGTTAGGAGCTCCTGGCTAGGCCTGGCCGCAGTCCTAGGCAATGCAAAGCGATATTTGCTACTTTTGGGGAGAAGATGAGCTCAAAGTTTACCAAACACAAGCTAAGAGATATGTATTATGTTTTCCAAATATATATATTTTGGAGCACCAGTTTCTGGCTGTTTATTTAGCTCTCTTATGAATTTACACATTTGGGAGTTATGCCAACTAGATAAAACTCAAAGGAGACGTTTTCATACCTTTTTTTTTGCACACGACCCATAAAGAAGGCCTAAATGCCACAGCCATCAAGCAGTGGTTCCTAAATGCACCTTACTCATGGACAACGCATTCTTAAATAATGCCAGAATTTCATCTGAGGAATTTCAAGATCAGGAAGCCTGTACTTGGGGTACCTCTTAGCTTTCTGTTAGGTATGAGAGGTCTAACTGAATTCATCCTCAAGAATCCTCTGATCAAGGAAGAGACGAGTTGGGTAGGATGGTGGGCAGCTTGGGGAATCCATGAAGAACAGGAACTGGTATTTGGTTCAAAATGCTTGGAAGTCAAAAAGGCCTAAGGTGTAATAGAACGTAACCAATGCAGCAGTTTTGAAAAGTAGTTCCCAGAGGGCAAGATTGAAGGGAGATGCTGGGAGAGGCTAGCAGAATGCTGGATATGTGGAAGGGGTCATAGATTCATGGCAAAATCTGTCACCTCACAGATGACTCACCGCTCGGGAATGTCTGAGGTCCCCTCTGTAACACCCTGTTCTGCAGAAAGAGACTTCTCATCTGGCATCCCGACTTTCTCCAGGAAGCAAAGTGCTGGGTCTGCTCGCATGGCATTGTACCTCTCATACCCTGATCAGGGGCAGAGAAATGTCAGATGATAGGTTAGAACTCCCCAAATCTACCCTGGGCCCTGGACAGCCATTTTTGTTTCGCTTATTAAATGAAAAATAAAACAATCAAAAAACACTATTTAAGATTAATAGAATCCTATCAGATATCCTATCAGAGGAATATCCTTGAGCTAAAGTAGATGCCCTGAGTAGTGCTTGACCAAAAATAAAAGCTTATGCACGTATTCTGTGTCCGTAAAGAGATACAAGGCCTAGATACAACACTTACTCGTTTACTTCTTTTGGACAGCAAAAGTAATCAGGCAAGTTGGTTCTATAGCTTCTTCCCCTCAACCCCCAACTCCGGACAACTTGTTACCTCCTGAACGGGCCCTGTTTTCTGATAGTCCAATACCATCCCATGTGTTAGGAACAGCAATTGAACAAAGTGATGCATGCAGGGGATAAGACACAGGGAGGGCTGCTGTGGTTGTTAATCAGATTAAAACCGACCTATTGCTTCCATAATCATCAACTCAGTATGAAATCCTAATCTACTGGCCAGGGCTTTGGAATTACCTAACCTCACATCCCAAAAGTCAAACACAGGATGAGCATTTTTGATGCAGAAGAGACTCCCAAAAGGAAGCCAAAACCGTGAGATAACATCACTTTTACTGTGATAATCCCAGGCTTGAGAATTTGTTACTATTTTACTAAACCTAATGCCATCTTATAATGAGACAGGATTTGGTCACATACAAGATCCAAATCTATTGTTATAGCAAATTATCTTGGGTGAAACTCCTTCAGGATCGTCAAAACCCTTTCCATGTTGCTCCTAGGAAGCAAGGTCCATTTCTAGCTCTGGAGTACATACACAGAGACCCCCGTGATGGAAAATGCTGTACCTAAAATGAGAGCCAGCATGGGTGCTAGTAACAGACTTTGTTTTACTTTGCTGGGTACTTCACCTCCTTGTTGGCTTCTGTTCTACCATCACTGTTGACGCACTTCTGTCTTCCACCCTGTAGGCAGCACCTGGAACTTGTTCTCTGAGGAGCTGCAGGTACTTTATCTTTTAATCCAAAGTGACTCTTGTGCCATCTCAATGACAGGTGCTGCCCGCATGAGGCATATGGCAGGAGAAACTGCGATGCCTTATGTTCTTTACTCGCTATTCCTCAGGGCGATTACTTGATTACTGTCAGTCACATGTGATTGTGGGCTCCTTAGGAAAAGAACCTGGGTCTGTTTCTTATCAGTACACATTCAGTACCCAGCGTGGGGCCCAACACCGTGCACGCTCGAGAAAAGATTGCAGGAGTCAGCTTTGCCCAGATTCTCTTCCAATGATTGTTGTAGGCAGAGCCATTCATACCCTCTCCCTGTGTCCTACCTCAGCTCACAGGAAAACAAAGGCCCTCCATGCTCCTGCTGCCTTGAGGAAATTCCTGCCGCTAGCTCCACCTGCTGCTCCCCATGAAAAGAGAGGTGCTTCATCCGATAGGTGAGAGGCTGAAAACCTCCTCCACCAGCCCTTTACTACTGAGGACCATGTGTCCTGCCCTCCGGTGCTCTGGGCTCAACAAGGGCATGAAGCAGTTCTTTCAGCAGCCGACTACCTGGGGACGCTTCTGTTGTGCAGCCCTTCTCTGTCTTGTGTGGCTCTCAAGTCTAGAGAGATTTTGCACTCCTATTTCTCAGTGAGCTACGAAGCTGGTGGCAAGGAGGAATGACGGATTCAGTCCCCTAGAAAACCCGACAACCTCCCTGCAGAGTCGCAGGAGCTGGAAGAGCAGTACCAATAAATACATAGTAGATGACAGCCTTTGAGGGTGTGGGCTGCTTGCAGAACATGAACAAAAATACTAAACTCCTTATCTTGATGAACTTTTTAAACACAGGCTGCCCTAGAGGGCTGTAGTCAGTTAACACAACTGACAGCTGTCAGGAGCATCATTCAGAAGAGGTTTGCTACAGGGCCCTTCTTGTTGCAAACAACCAAAGGTTCAGGCAATTCTTCCCCAGGGGTCAGCTTGGAGATGCAACCATGGCTATATCCTTCTAATCTAAGTAGGGTTGTAGCGGGCTATGTCTGGGGCAGACTAAAAGAGCCACAAAACTACAGACAATGAACGGTGTGTGTTTCTTAACAAAGAAAATGGCTGTAGCGCCACAGCTCATACTTAGGCCTCCACAGGATGAAGGCGAGGCAGAGGGCTTCCTGCCAGAAATCCCTGAAAAGTGAACACCAGATGGCTTGGGTGTCTGGAAGCTTGACTGTCAGCTGGTAAGACCTGGTAAGACATGTTATGTGGGCTAAGTTATACAGGGGTCATCAAGGTGTATTCTCCAGATGAGCCTATGCTCATGGAATGTCTGATGGGCATTTGGCCAGGGGCAGGATCCAATGTGGATTCTATAAGACACCAAGGAGGATAAGCACATGAAACCAACCACAAGCATCTGTACAATGTCATCTAGGTAGAACCAATGTTACCATCCAGCTAAAGAGGGCTAGTTCTATGCAGGAGTGAGCCAGGTACACATGTGTGGTTTAGGTCTAGTCCCCCAGCACTGGGTACGGAGGCTGGGTTTTCCCATCTTTATAGTGTGTCTGCTAGTCATTGTATGCCACAATGAGCCACTGTAGGCATCGCACACATGCCCTCAGCCCTGATTTTGACAGTGAGTTCACCTCAACTGGCAATCTGGGGGAATCTGAAAGGAGTGGGTGATGCATCATCGTAAGACTGCACGAGTGTGCTCAGGAAACACTTCGGAGTTACTAACTTATACCCTCCCAAACTGTTTCATAGAGCAGAGGAGCATTAGACATGGAAGTTACCTTAGACATCATCTGACTGGCCCTTGAACATTTCCAGTATAAGACTAAGATCAACTGATTAATCCACTACCCTAAGCCTTCATCAGGGACAAAAAAACTAATAGGTATTGTGCCAGCGTTAATTTGCCTTTCCTAAGAGAGAAAGGGTCTTGGCTCCACTTAGAGTCCTGTCTTCTTACACATTCTGAGGTTACCCTGCTAGCCACACCTTTGTAAGGAACTACACTTATCAGCAAAGTATAACGACCTTCTTTATCCCAAACTATCCTTTCCTTAAAGACCTTTTGTAGGACACTGATCTTGCCACACTAGGTCTCTTGTGTTTTGTTTTTGTTTGTTGTTAGCATTGGTCTGGGATATCTTGTTTTACTGTTTACAAGGCAACCTCATTCTATCTTCCACATTTTCTCCTCTTTCGTGTCCGTAATTTATCTCCCATGAACATGTTCTTCCAGCTCTGCATCCTTGGGCCAAAGGGCCTCTTCTTGCCCTCCTTTCCCAGAGGGCTTGTTTCTTTCTTGCGTGTGGGCATTACAAACCCAGTCCCTCTGGTTTGCTGTCCTATCAGTGAACTTCCAGCTCTGGCTTTAAGTAACCTCTTCATTCGGGGATTTTCTTTTATTTGTTTCATGTGTAGCTAGGTGGTTTCACACCGTTGTCAGAATCCACCCAGGCTTTCTGTATGTCTGTGGTGTGTGTGCGCTGGGTTGGAGGAAGGATGGAGGTGAAGCGTGTGGCTGCCACAATGCTGGGACTTCAGGTTGTGAGGTCTTTCCACATCACGTTCTCTCCACCAAGGGTCGGGCAACATACCCTAAAACTACCGCCGATAGGAGACCCAGGGTCAATGGACTTTCCCGCACACTGAGTTCAGATGCTCTGAATCTGCCTGTCTCCAACAACTTGTCTTCCTTTGAGTTCTTTCCAAAATCAGATTAAACCAAGTTTTGGTTGTACTGTGGGTTCCTTGTGCTTAATCGAGAGGTCACTGCTTCTTCATCCCACTGCAGAGGTGAGTTCTGGCCCTGCACTGCCCCAACGAGGAGCCACATGTGGTTATTTAAATTTCAATTAATTACAATTACGTAAAGTTAAAAATATAGTTGCTCAGATGTACCAGTCACATTTCAAGTGCTCAAGAGTCACATGTGGCTGGTGGACCACACAGCGGACAGCACAGAGACAGGGCATTTCCACCATCACAGGCAGCTCTCGCCAACAGCACCGCTGCTCCCACCTAAACCGGCGGTTTGACAAAGGGCCCTCAGCAGCCCTGACCTCCCACTGCAGCACCCAAATCCAAGCGTCGAGGGGATTCCTCATTAAAATATGTACAGGCATGGCTCTTAAGGAAGCGTGGCTGGTTGGCCTCCAGATTTGAGTCCTACTGATGACGGCTGTGTCAGAAAGCGACTTTCCACGGGCAGAGCAGCACTGAATATGTCCTACGCTGGCACGTACCGCCTGGCACTGCCCTAGGCAGTCCACACATAGTGTCTCAAAGAGTCTTCAAACAACCCTCCGGGCAGGCTGTTTCGATACTATCCTCGTGGTACAGGTGAAGAAACAGGTCAGAGAAATTTATGATTTGCTCAAGGTCCCACATTTAGTAAGTGGCAGAGCTGACAGTGAAAGCCAAGTATAACCAACTCTTCCCACTTTGAGTCCTGCTCTCCAGTTTAAGATTTCAGTTACTTCACTGGGCAGGGAAGGGGTCTACCAGCCACAATACAGTGACTATCACATGGTGCTTCCATCATTCACCTTAACCGCTGGCTGAAGGCAAGGGCAGGTGCCTAGGACAGTTCCAGAAGTGAAAAAAGGGGCACTTATTTAGTTTTTTTCCAAGCTACTCAAATACTTCTCTCAGTCCCCTAGACTCTTAGTTACCGTATTTTTAAAAAACGATGTCCATGCCATCTTGTATTCTTAAATTTTTATACCAGTGGGGCAAAAAGATGCACTCCAGGAATACATAGATTATCTAGACTGATCTTAGAATTCTACATACATACGAAAGGTTAAAACCTAACATTTTCCCATTTACTTATTCTTTTACTCAAGCAATGCTGCATGCCTACACGTGCCAGGCATTAGGCTAGACACTGGGACTCTAAGAGTGAAGGAGAATGAGGCAGTCCAAGGTCTGACAGTGTGGACAGGCTCTCTGTAACCACAGCAGCTCTCTGCGAAGCTCCTCACTGATATTATTAATGTTCACCCTATTTTCATGACTCACACGTTCATCTGAGAGGACAGAGGAGAGGTGAGGCTTACTTTCTACCAGAGACGTGCAGCAGGCTATGGAGTTGCTCAGGAAAGGGAGAGCATGCACTGAAATACACACCGTGTTTGAACACGCCTATCAGAAGGGACTTATCGGCCTCAGCATCCCACCAATCCACTGGGATCTCCATGTAGTCGATGTCGGGCAGGGGTACGTCTAGCTCCCTGTGGAAGGAAGGGCATGGGCTCAGAGTTCCTTCAACACAGACAAAAAACAATGCAAGAGCTACTGGCTGAACCCTGATATTAAGCCACACCCCAGTCACATACTGAGAGGCTGAAGTTACAAGGACTCAGAAGGCTGTGGGCTAAGGTTTCTTAAACCAGGACTTTATCACATTCACCCAGTGAGCTATTTCATACATGTACTTGATTTCTAGGCTCTACCTTAGACTGACACAGAACCCTGAAGCACCTCTTGGAGAACTCATCAGTAGGTCTAGGTTGGGGCTTGGGATCCTTATGTGTAATGCCCATCTTCAGTTGGGAACCACAGCAAAAGCCATCAATACATTGGTCAACTGAAGGTAGAACACTCTCCACTTGGCTGAACTCCTACACAATCAAATGTTGGAAAGTGCCCAAATCATCCTGGTTCAACATGTGGAGATCTCAAGCACTGTTTGAGAACAAGACAGTCAGCACTGGTACACGCAGGGAAATAAAGACCGCCTGTTCAGAGGACAGGTCTCACAGTAGCTGGCCTCCTGGCACGTAGGGAACTGACCCCGGGCTGGGTGCAAACACGGGCCTCCTGAAGCACAAGTAGGTTTGTCTGTCTCCATGAATGGGACTATATGGTAGCTCTTTAACACCAAGAGCCACACTGACTTGTTTTACCTGGCAGGGGTGCCTTCAAACGCTTTATCAGCTGCCTCTCCCAGTATTTCAGCTTTTAGGTAGTACAGCATCCGGACTCGCAAAAGGACCCTGTGAAAGGTGAACACATCAATGCAAACGTATCAGAGCCCATGAGCTGCCTATAACCTGCCACCCCCAAGTGGACACATGGAAATTCCGGGCGCTCCCAAGTTATTATGATGTGAAGTAATATATGAGAAAGCACTAGAAAAGCAAAACCCAAGGTATTGATGGCAGATGCTACTGTGATTATCCCCACTTCACATGGAAAAATGTATCTCACCAGCCCTGTAATCACCCTGTAAGCCCTGGAGGGCAGCAGAAACACTGTTTCTCCAGATCCACAAGAGTACACACCACCTCTATGGGGCCATAATGACCTCTAGGGCAGAGGTGCCTTCCAAGAGGCTGGTTACCAGTTTATTGATCTACTGAAGAGCAGGTCATGTTGAATGGTGCTGCTTCCCGTTGCATTTGCATGTGTTAAAAATGGATATTTACAAGTCTTTTTCATGGCAATACTCCCAAACAGTAATCATGCCTTCTCTCCTGAGGTGCTCAGTTCCCTGGATTCTGCTCAGAGCATACTCAAGCTCCAAGGGAGGGCATGCGCCAAACATGTCCGAGACAAGGAAGTAAGCGTTTGTTGGGCAACTACTGTGTGCCCTGCACCATGCTGGGTACTGTGAGGCACAGAGCAAAAGCAAGCCTGTTCTTGAGGAGCCCACAGCAGTCTAACAGTGAAATGAGACCAACCACGAAAGAACTACAGCACAGAAGATGACCCTGGGAGTCGACGTATGCAAAACGGGGTGAAGGTAAGGGTAGGCACAGAGAAGCTGGCCCCATTCAGGGAGAGGCTTCATATTCACGGCTAAACTGCAAAGAAGTTTAGAAGAGTACTTGTAACTTGTACAATACCAGTCAAGACTAAAGGCTAGCTATTAAAAATAAAGGCCTACTTACACAGATAGGGACAGACCTCCATCTAAGTTATTTTAAAAAGAGAAAGAGAAACAGCGCAGAGCACGAATAGTATGTAAAATACACATTATTTTTGGGAGAATAAAAGGAGGATGTACATTCATCTAAGCTGGTCCATGCACAGAGTATCTCTGGAAGAACCCGTTAGCAGTGGCTGCCTCTGGAGGGGGAAATGGGAATTGGAGGTGGGAGGAAAGGTTATTTTTGGCAATTTTTAAAAAACACATAAAGTGCCACTCTGGGCTCGAATAGTAGGTGGCAACACACACAGAATTTTTAGAATGGAAAGAACCCTTATTTTTCTGGTATGCCATTCCTTACCTCAGCTGTCAGTCAACTCAAATAATTTCAAGGTTTATTTTTTTTAAAGCTCAGATAATAAGAGCTCTAAGAATTTACAACAGTCGTTGATCGTTCTACCTTGCTGACAGTGCCTGCTGGCCTCCTCAGTAAGAACTTCAGTGAGGAGGTCTTAGATATGGGAATCCCAGCCTGCTTACATCTAGCCCAATCAGAGGAAGGTTTTCCTGATGATGTAAGATAGAGTGGTCTCTACTTCTTTAAACCGAAACGTGTTGACACTTGGTAGCATCTATGGCATGAGAGAATAGAATTTTAAGTGAACAGTATTCACTTATTCTCCAAATGAGAAAGAAATCAATTCAGAGGACAGATGGGCGGCTCCTCCCCGAGTGAGAGGATAACCCCAGCTGGCATCTAAACTCAAAGGGAAGGAGGACTGGGGCACGTTTGTAACACCCTTACTTCAGCCAGACAAAACCCACCAATGTTTCGGTGGCATTACTGCTCTTTCCTTCATCTCTTTCTTTAAAATAAAACACAACACCACATTTTGTTGATATGAAATACACTTCCAGGAAGTGCACCTTAGATAAACATACAGCTTGATGAATTTCCAAACTGAACACACATGTGAATCCAGGACCCAGATTAGGAAGCAGGGCATGTCACCAGGACTCCCTTCTCATAGCCTGGATCTGAAACAGCTGTTATTTAACTTTTTAAAGTTCTTTTGCTGACAATTTCCTGTCCCTAAATACTATACCACTACTACTACTGAACAATGCTTTGAATACTTATCACATGGCAGCATGTATTAGCTCACTTAATCCAAACAACAATGCTAAGAGATGGAAACTAGTATTACCCTCATTTTCTAGATGGAAACTATTATTATCCTCATTTTCTAGATGAAAGAAAGAAGGCAGAAGGCACAAAGAGGTTAATAATTCACCTGCTCATAAATCCAGGCAGTCCTGACCCCAGACCCTGTCTCAACCTTTATCTGGTATGAGGGTGGCAATAAATTTGCTAACAGAGCCTACAATTCTAGAAGCTCCCAGTCCACTTTTGCTGAAAGAATTCTGCCTGTTCTCCAACGTACCTCAGGGCAAACCAGGACCCAAGATCAAAGGGTGGAAGTTTCAAGGAAGCAGACTTCAGATTCAATACATAGAAGGGTGATTAATTAAAATCTGGTAATTAAATGAGCCTTGCAGAGAAATGGTAAGCTCCCATCGCTAGGAAGGCTCGCGCACAAGCTGCAGACTCCCTGGCAGGGTCCTGCCCCCAGAATTCCCATGCTGAGTGCAAGAGCTGCAAGGTCCCTGCTGGCTCTTGCTGAGCCAGGACTAAAGAGGACAGTTGTCCCCTTTGGATTCAGAATAATAAACAATAGTCAGCATCTCTGAACTCAGATAAATGCTTTACTGCATTCTTTTCTCTTTTTTTTAAAGATTTTATTTTTTTTAACAGTAATCTACATCCAATGCGGGGCTCTAACTCACAACCCCGAGAACAAGAATCGCACACTCCACCGACTGGGCCAGCCAGGGGCCCCTATTGCATGTGTTCTTTGATTCCCAGCATCAGGCACACATTCAGGAAAAGTCTTGGGGATGGCGGTTAGAAATGTTAAGGAATTCCTCAAAGGTCCAAACTGGTTCTGTTCATCAGCTGTGATCATCTCTGCAGGTATCAAGGGAAGTTCTATGCCAACTTCTCCAGCTCAGCCTGTTTTCAGTGCCCCACACCCACATGTGCAGTAAGGAATGGAAGAGCCACACACTGCCGCTGTCACTTAGCAGGGTACAACCCGAGTCCTTCACCTTGCACCTCACTGTTCAGTGAATGTAAGGACTCTGATTCTGTCCCAGCTACAAGTACTGTTATTCTCCTAGCCGGTAAGACTCACAGGCATGAGTTAGCTGCTTTCTATATTCCTCATCACATATTACGGGTTATTCCCTAGTTGTGTCATAGTCGACCCTTTCTCCCCAATTCTACAGTTGGCACCTTTCTCTAGATCCTTATGATCCATACTTACATTACGACAGAACTCTCCTAGATGGCCACTTAGCTCTCGGTTTACCCAGACCATCTCACTGTTGCCAGATAAAGTTTTCTCCCCAAACATCATTTTTTTACTACATGTCTCACTTATTAAAGAAGCATGGCTGCTTAATCTACAAGAGAATCCTCAGCCTGCAGTACAAGATCTCCTAGGAGTCCTCTTAACTAGGCAGCCTCCTCTTTCTGTCTGTCCCCTACATGGTGACTCTGAGTCAGTCCCATGGCACATGCTACCAGGTCCTCTCCCAGGCAGATTCTACCATCAACAGCACGCGCCCTTTAATTCTCAGCTTGAGAACTACTGTCCCAAAGAGCCTGTCCTTCTGTGCACGGTTTTTATTACTGTTTTGGGCACGAGACCTATCTTCAAAGATTTGGAAAGATGAAGGGAAACGGATCAGACTTCATCTGTAAACGGTGAAGAACACAACCTGACAACCACCGCAGGACCATTAGGTTGATGTCACAGGGAAGACACACTAATTTGTAAGTTGACAAACGCTTACTTCTCACTTAACTTAGAAGGTCGTACCCAGAGGTGCGGCAGCAGAGACCTTCTCACTGCCGAGCAGGAGTGCTGGGGAGACATGCCTGCAAGGCCTACGAAGCTGGGCTAGGTGGTTTCCAAGGGTCCTTTTCGTCCTGATAGATACTCCGTATGGTGATGCAAATATCCACGTGCAACTAGTCACTGTTTGGTGGCTGAGTGCCCTCTAACTCCCCAAACTAAACTTCACAAGAGCAGTTTCATTTTCCATCACTCTTTCCTTTGCCCTGCCATCCACCCTGCACGGTGTTGGCCCAGGGATATAAAGGGTAATATCTCAAATGCAAGTCTGTCAAATGCCTGGAGGCCATGAATGGCAACAGCAAATCAGAAGAGGAAGCAACCTGGCATGGGGGAGTGGGGCTGAGAGTAGTGGCCACTAAGGCCAGTCTTCTTCTCTTGCTAATGTGACCTCAGGGGCAGAAGGAGAGAAAGGGAAAGGAGAGGAAGCAGTAAAGTCACAATGTCCTAACTGGATTTTGACAGTCAGGTCAGAAGTCCCCTCAGGGGTATAAGGGGCAATGGTAGAGAGTCCAGGTTCTGGGGGAGAGGAGATGTTGCCAAAGGAGGGATACAGGCTTTATGTGAAGGGATCCCAACCAGTTTAGACCACATACCCTGCCTTTTCAGACCCTGCATGGTGGTACAGGAGCATCAGGTGGTCCCTCACAGCCCCGAGGGGATCCCAGGAGCCTGAACGGTCTGAATGGAACTGCCGCGAAGGATGAGGAGGGGCACACTCACTTGTTGCAGTGCTGTTTGAGGTGTTTCTTATAGCCGTCATCATGCAAGACCACCTCGGGGTTGCAGGTGGCCAGCCAGTCTGCATTCTTCAACTCAGGGAGCAGCAGCTGGTTCTTTGTCTTCTTCCCCTTCCTTCCTCTGGGGACTGGAGCAGACAACCCTGAAACAGACAGGAAGGCCCATGAGCCTAGGCAACTTTAAACATGGGGGCAGAACAGAGTTGGGCTTAGGGTTGCAAGGAGGCAGCCAGGCTGTGCATGGCGGCCCTACGTGACAGACCCCCCTCCTCGGCCCACCAAGTAGTGCTAGTGGTGAGGAGATCTGCCTGGGCTCCAGCTCAGTAAACTCCAGGAATGTTCAGTCAGGCGGTAAGAATTTACTGAGCACCCCATGCAGACTAAGAACATCACCTGCACCCCTCGGGAACTCACAACCCGGCCAGGGAAAAAGGGATGCTCGGTCTGAAACGTGAACGTGAGCAGTGGCCAAGCACAGGGAAGGAGAAACACAGCACAAGAAAAGGCAGAGACAGGTAGAACTGGGGCACAACAGTGACATGCCAGAGAAAAACCACAGCACATGGCGTGACCCCAGTTCCGTGCGGGAAACCCTCGGGATGCTCCAGTCAGCACACAGGATTGGCATGCGGGCCCAACTGTACTCCCGCAAAATACTACAGGCAGCACTGGATCATTCTGAGGGAGAACTGAAGGAAACCTCTTGCTCTTCCACAGCTAACATTCTCAGATAACATCTGAGGAAGAGAAGCCTCCCAAAGCACAGCAACCTGGGCAATGCAGAAGGACGGGAGCACACAGGAGCTGCCACTTCTCAGGCCAGCCCTGCCGCCGCTCACCTGAGTGGTTCTGGAGGGTCTGGGCCTGCCCGTCTTTGGTAGGTGTGATCAGTTCCCAAATGAAGCTCTTGATCTTCTCGTCCCCCTTGTAATGCTTGACACAGTAGACCAGCAGGGCCCGGCAAATCATCTCCATGTCCTTCTCATTCAGATGCCACTTGAACCGCCCGTGGGTCAGGATGTCCTTCCACCGGCCCCAGCTGGGAGTGGAAACACAGAAGGGCGTTGGAGGGAGGAAGGGCCATGTGTGCCCTCAACACTGCAGGACAAACAGGTGCCAGGAGTGCTTCTCATCGTCTGCTGAGTCTGCTAGTCACCCTGAGGGCTTTGCCCTGAAAGGCCTTCAAGGACCACATGCTGTATCACACCGAGGGTCACCGAGGTGACCTGGACCCTGAGAGCTTCATATGGCCACTTGAATGTTAACAAGGGAGGGACAAAACTATTTGGAAAGGGGAATAAATTTGGGATTAAGACAGTCCAGCTGCAGTATTCAAAAGCAATGGTGAGCTCCCAGAAACTAAACCTCGTACTTCAACTAGAACCAGAGCCCTGCACGAATCATGCCCTAACCGCAACATCTGCTGTGCTGACTCCATATATATCCTCGGTGGGGGGAAAGCAGGAAATCAGTACCAGGCAACAAATTAGTAACAGAGATTTGCCGTGACAAGCACATGAGAAAATCATGGCGCGTCTACAATATGGCAGCAGAGCGTACAACAACCGAGGGGGGGCCGTGGGCGAAAAGCACGGTTCTCTCCTGCTCTAACGGGTCCTCCATCAGCCCGGAGCGCTAGAGGTGACTAGAGACACAAACTGGACAAATGTCAGGGGCTGGAAAACAGCAACACACAGTCCAGGCCAATACCCACCCAAAGATGAGCAGGTTCTTCTCTACCCGGAAACACTCGGCTCGGAGGTAGCGCCTGGTTTTGTCATTGAGGCGTCTGGACCTCGTGGGCCTTTCGTCTGAGTCGCTGTCTAGCTCCGAGAACTCCATGAGCTCATCCTCCTCAAAGGAGTTGTAGTGTTTGGTCTGCTTTCTCACTCGAGGCCGGTCGATCACTAAGCTCTCCTAGAAACAGAGAAGAACAGTTGGGGAGAGGACCCTTCTTCGTTCTTCCCCCATCACGATGCATACACACACCCTGTCGCTGGTCCTGGGTCCCGAGGACACATCCGGCAGAGAACCACACCCCAGCCTCGTCCTCCAGCAGGTAAGGCTCTTCCCAGCACACCTGCCGTGTCCACGACAAGCAGAGGGGATTCTCTGAGACTCGCTGGAGTTGGAGTGTTCCCCAAGCCCCCGGCGCCGGCCGCCACCATCTGCTGTTTCTGTAGTCTTTCTAACAGTGCAGGCGGATGGCAGGCAAGGCCCCCCAGCACCCAGAGTGGCGGCTGCTCTTGCCAAGAAGGGCAAGAGTGGGGCACCCCAGCTGTTCTGCCCAGCATGCAGAGGCAGCCTGCGCTCCGGAGACAGGATGAGTCGGACAGTTCCATCTGCTCGGCGACTTTCTCAAGATGCATACATTTCTTGCCACTTCATTCTCTGCCTTCCATGGGCGCTAACTCCTAACCTTTTGTCTTTCACTGAAGACATAATCTCCAGCCCAGGATCTTCAACTCCTTCTGGCAGCTCCCCTACCAGAACCATCACCTCTTTTCCAGTCCCCGCCATTCCTGCTCCTTACCCCTTCACCCCCACACTTCTTCCTAAAGCTTGGCTAAGCTCTGTGTAGCCCAGATACATTGGGGCATCACTCCTGCTTCAGTCACCTTGCTTTCTGCCTTCCATGTTCCAGCTGCTTCTAAACGTCTCTACGACAAGAGCTTTTTCCTCTCCGCCCTCACCCGCCATCCTGTGCACAGAGTAACTTCTGGATTGTCACCTTATAAAACAGGTTTTACTAAACAGGTTACTCAAGGGACTTCAGACTCTTCCTACTAAAGAAAACAGGTTGGACTGAGAAAGCTCTGGGGATGGGACAGAAGAGTTAAGGCTGGGTGTGAGTTACTGCATCAGCTAGATAGGAGCAGGGACTGTCTCCTGAGCTTGTGGGTTCACGAGAGTTCAACATTCACCCAAGAAGACCAGTAGAAAGTGATGTGCGGGCACTCTGGAGTGAGGTGACAGGGCCAGAGATGGAGGGAAGGGAGATGAACATTTCAGGGGTGCCTCCCAACAGGCGAGGCAGGTGTATTCACAAACCTTATCTCCCAACTCTGCAAAGGGGCATCACCACCTCTTTTTGTCACATGTCTTGCTCACTTGTCTCAGTGGGGTCAACTGCCTTGCCCAGAAGAGGCATGCAGTCAGGGGCAGACTGATATCGGACTCCGGTTTCATTCCACAGCTATTCTCTTTCTCATGTTCAGAAGTTAGAAAATTCAAGGTACAGAGAGAATGGAGGAGAGACCAACAAACCCCTTCATCCTGCTTAGCCTCCCCTGGAGTATCTGTCAGAGGTAAAGTTTCTTTCACAGGAAGTGTTGAGGCAGAGGTAAAATAGTCCCTTGCCAAGATGGGATGCTGGCCTGGGTCTGAGGGCTGAACTTGACCTGTGTGGCCAGTTCCAGTTCTAATTGCCTTTGTCGTATTTCCCAGGTGCCCAACAGACTGTAGGTCCCAAGAAGTCATTTTAAAATTGTAACAGTGAGAGGAGCCTGGGTGGCTCAGTTGGTTGAGTGTCCAACTTCAGCTCAGGTCATGATCTCGCAGTTTGTGAGTTTGAGCCCCACACTGGGCTCTGGGCTGACAGCTCAGAGCCTGGAGCCTGCTTCGGATTCTGTGTCTCTCCCTCTCTCTGCCCCTCCCATGCTCATGCTGTTTCTCTGTCTCTCAATAACAAATAAACCTTAAAAAAAAAAAAATTGTAACAGTGAACATTTATCAAGCTCTATGTGTCAAGCATGCTTTAAGTGTGTTACATATAGGATCTCACTTAAGAACTAAGGCTCAGGAGTGAATAATGACTTGAGCCATGTGGGAATTTATGGTCCTACAAGCCACAGCAAAATGTACAATGGAAGAGAACATTCTCAGTACTGTACCTTTTCATTCTTTGCTTCGGTGTCCAATTCAGCTATTTTAGCCCATTTCTGCCAAAAGTTTGGGTCATCTAAGGAAATATCTGTCCTGTTTCCTGAAGCCACAAAGCTAGCCTGTGAAGATAACAGAAGTCAATAAACTGCTCTTGAACACAGTACAAGCTGATAATACCACCTGCATTATTTCAAATTTACCAGAATCCCAAGTATGTTCTTCAATTGCATTTGAAGCCAAAACCCCTAAAAGAGCCTCCCAAATGAATGTGAAAATCTCAAGGCTGTTCTTTTTTTATTTTAAAGATTGGGTAAGGATATTACAATTTCCACCTCCAGGATCATTTTTTGGAACTTAAACTTGGAAGCAGGAAGAATGCCCTGGAACACAATGGCAATGTGTTACTTGGTGTCTAGCTCCCTGCAAAAGGGTTGCTTTGTGAGACTTCCCTAGATGCAATTTTTCTTTCAGTTCACCACTTTCCAAATGTCTGCTTTGGGAAACGCACCGGGGTTGGGCAGTATGAGGTATACTGAGATGACCAGGCACTTATAAAGCACAAAATGTCCTACTGAGGAAGTCCTACATAAGCCACCAAACAGGAGACTCAAACAGGCCACAAAGCTCCCAGAGCCCACGGCCGGAGACACCTGAAAGTGATTTGGTAAGTGGCCTCATCAGTCAAATTTGAAATCCAGTGAGGTGAAGAGCAGGGGAAAGAGGCACCTAGAGTAGCAGCTGGGAATCTAGACTAACATCTTTTCTCATGGAACGAGCAAAAACCCTTGCTTCAGTTTGAGGAATGGAGGGTTCAGCGGAATTTCAGTGCGTGGACAGTGATCACGGGGTGCTCTACAAGGAGATCCAGATGACCATTCAAAGGTTTTGGAGCAGTCTTTGCAAACAGTGAACGGTGCAAACTGTAAACTGAAGTGTCTGTCCTGTCTGCTGGAGATCAGCTCCCACTGGTCAGGAGTGGGGTTTTCTTTCTATAGCTTCTGACTCATTACTCAGAAACCCTCTAAAGAGTCTGTATTTTCTGTCTCACACAAAACCCACGTGTAGACAGATAATCTCAACAGTTTGCATATTGAAAAAACAAAGCCTGGCTGGTGAAGGTCAAAGAACAGTGTTTTGTTTTTGCTCCCATTCCGACACGGACTCTGGAGAAAGGTGCCATACCTTGGCAAAAGTAGATCCTTTCCCTTCAGACTGGATGGTGATGGTGTGGGTTCTCCTCTGCAGAATCTGGTCTATGTCTTCTTCACAGAATTTGGAGCCTTCATCTTCCTCGTCCATCAGGGCTCCATAAGCCCCTTTCCGGAGCAAGTCCTCTACTTCCATTTTTGAGAGCTGTTGTACCTGGACAGGTCACCAAAGGCTACTCACAATGTGGAAAATGCACAGGAGAAAAACAGCCTAAAATCTGGCCTTCATGATCCACTTCCTCCACTAACTGCACATGTCGGAAGACTAAAGATACGGGCCACAAGTTTTAGAAAATTAGAGCCCAGATAAAGATACTCAAGAAAACTATGGGGAGGGCAGACAGATAATCCTCTATAGGGAGCTCTGGAATCAAAGCCAGCACATGACCCAATGGCCCTAACATTCCTCAGGACATTGATTATTATCACATGTCACAAGCTATTGAAATTATGCACCACTGAAGAAGGTATGTTTAATGCTTTAGTTTGAGTCTGTATCTTTAAAAACCTCCAGATGTACTAAACAAGCTACAGAATGATGATTTATTCATTATTAAATAAATACATGAGTATTGGAAATGATGTCATTTCTCAACTAAAGAAAGGGTCCTGTGCCAAGTGTGATCTTCTCAATTGCTTGTTGAAAACAGGAAATGGGAGTTCAAAACACCCTTTCCTGGTTCTAATTAAGAATCTGGTTCTCTCTCTACCAATCACAAGAGGGAGTTCCAGGACTCCCAGCACTGGTGAGCTAAGTATTATACTTAGCAACACATGCATAGCTAAGAGGATACAGAACATCTGGACTGAAGACAACTCATTGGAAGGTTTTAATTCTCAACCTTTGATGCCCTGAGTCCAGAGATTAAGGAGATACTCTGTTTTGTTGGCCTATAACTTAATACAATTTAAGAATCTTAGCTGCATTTTTTATCCCTGTGTAGGGGGGAAAAAGATTTTATTAACTGCCATATTGCAAGCTGCTAACTTATTCATTTTTTTTTTCACTGACCATCATGCATTGAATATCTTTAATATGCCAAGTACTGTTAGGGGCCATGGGTGATACAGATAAAATAGGTTTCATTATACCCTCAGGAAGCTCAAAGTCTGGAGTATGAGATAAGACATGGTGACAATAGATATTCAGAATGTTAAACGTTAAGATCTACGGACTTCTGATGGGCACTGTTAAAAATTCTGCTTACCGAAACGTTACTGCATGCTGGGCAATCCTACCACACCACTGCGCCTACAGATTTGCTTTATCCATCTGTAAAAGCAGAGACCTGACCCTGAATTATCCTCTGCTGTGGGGAATGACTCAACAAAGATGTGCAACCGGATTTAATTTAGTGAAAGTGAATCTTAAAACAGCTGTAAGAAGGGAGACCCCAGAGGGGCCCGGGCTGTGTGGCGAGTGTCCTGGGGTGCTCTGAGCAGGTCCCGTCATACTCACCCCATTGGTGCTGCCCTTTCGGTTTATGTCCTGAAGAACAGCCTTGTCCAGGCCCAGCTTTAGGCTGGCTTTGTCAAACATTTCCCGCTCATAGGAGTTCCGAGTAATGAGACGATACACCTTCACGGCTTTGCTCTGGCCTATCCGGTGACATCGGGCCTGAGCCTGGGAAGGAAGGAAGGTCATACATATCCCGTCACCAGATATAATGACAACAGCCTAAGGAACAGGGAAATGCTTAAATGCCATGTGGCGTGAGTGGCCAGCTCTCACAGTTATGAGTCACGGGACCAATTTTGGAAGAAAATTCACCCAGATGTCGGCTGCCCCTCCAAACTCACTCATTTCTTCACGCATTATTTATTGAATGACTACCACATGCTGGGATAAAGTGATGAGAAGGACATGACTTCCTACACTCCCCAGCTTGCGGGCTGAGTGCAGCTACTCATTCCCAGGATGCTGTCCTGCTTTCTGGGCAAATGCCTCAGAGCTGGCAACACCAGTTTTTTAACTTTTTCATCTTACTAGAAAGAAATTTTCACACGAAGACCAAAGTAGAGAAAAAGCAGAATGACCTCTTATGGATGACCCATTTTTTTTTTTCAATCTCTACTATGTTCCCACCCTCCAAGACTATTATGAAGCAAATCCTAGGCATCCTATGGTTTCATACTTATGTATTTCAAAAAAAAATTTTTTTACATTTATTTATTTTTGAGAGACAGAGAGAGAGACAGAATGCGAGCAGGGGAGGGGCAGAGCAAGAGAGGGAGACACAGAATCCGAAGCAGGCTCCAGGCTCTAAGCAAGCTGTCAGCACAGAGCCCGATGCGGGGCTCAAACCCACGAACCATGAGATCATGACCTAAGCCAAAGTTGGACGCTTAACTGACTGAGCCACCCAGGTGCTCTCATACTTACGTATTTCAATATATAATTCTTTTTTTTAATCAGTGCTGATTTTTTTAAAGTTTATTTTGTTTTTAGTATTTAAGTTTATTATTTATCTATTTATTTATTTAAAGTTTATTTATTATTTTGAGAGAGAGATAGAGAGATGGATAGAGATAGAGATATGGATAGAGAGCAAGCAGGGGAGGGGCAGAGAGAGAGGGGGAAAGAGAGAGAATCCCAAGCAGGCTCCACACTGTCAGTGCAGAGCCTGACGTGAGGCTTGAGCTCACAAACCGCGAGATCACGACCTGTGTGGAAATCAAGAGTCGGACGCTTAACTGACTGAACCACCCAGACGCCCCTCAATATATAATTCTAAAGATAAGGACTCTTGTAAAATAATGCTGTTGCCACACCTCAAAACATGAACATTGGTACTAACAATCTCATCAACGTCCCAATTTCCCTGCTTATCTCATGTGTATTAATAAGTACGCTTATTTGGATCAGGATGCAAATAGGGCCCATACGTTGTACCGGACTGATAGAGCTCAAGTCTCTCAGATTCTGTAGATATCCCTTGCCTTTGACCTCTCCTTTTTCAAATGCAGGTTTTTTTGTGGAGAGACCAGGTGTCTGTCCTCTAGCTTCTCAGGGCTCACATGTTGCCACCTGTATTCTGGCTGTGGTGTTAAACAAGTTCCTCTGGTCCCTGCATCTCCTCTAAGTAGGTCATTGTTTCTAGACCTATTCAGTGGGCAAAAACAGAAGTGTTTGGGTGTGTATAGTGTATACAATTATGTGCATATACAAGACAAAATATGTCATGAGATCAACTTAATTCAAATTTATAACTATGGGACTTTAACTTCACCAACCACACATCTGTATCTCTTTTTTAACCATGTCAAAAAGCTCAATTCTCAACCACACGAATATCATTATTCATTTGATTTATCCCACAATGTATATAAGAGTCTCAGAAAAACTGTACCACCAGGAACTCCCCAAAACATAATTACTGAGAACAATGCAAGATCTTTGTTTTCCTCCTCTCAGGGCTATATCCCACTAAGTATGCATGCTCCACTTACAATGTTTTAAGTACTACCAGCAGGTAGGTTTCTTTTTCTTTCCCAGTGGTAGGGTCAGCAATTCAGAAACTACTTTCTGTGTAATATAGGATTGAGGAAAGGGGTAAATATAACAGGGGTCAAGGCTTTCATTGTTGAAGAAGGACATTACAAATATGGAAAGAAAAAAAAGTAGACTAGCCGTATGGTGGTGTTTCTACGGAAATAGGTACGGACATGTGTGTGTTTACACGTTATTACACATGTGTATATATACACGTACATATGAATGTATGTTATGTACCTGTGTATTTATATTCTCTGTGTGTATGTACTCTAGCTATATCCACTGAATGGGCCTAGAAGCAATGGCATCACAGCAGCAAAGACCATAACTCCCAGATCTTGGTTTCTAAATATATTCTCCATCAAGACAAAACCAAAGCATGTAAGAGAAATAATTAATTCCAGGACTGGGGGCAGAAAAAACACCGGATGAGTCCCAAACATATTACTATGCCAGAAAATAACGAAGTACTCAAAGAATGATGGAGACACACCAAAATAACACTTCCATCTTGAAGAGGTTTACCACTGGCTAGGCCCAGAACGGTCTGAATATCAAAATAAACATAGTAGTGAAATATAACCCACCAGATAATAATAATAATAAAAGAATCAATGAGTACATAATGACATAACTAAATGGGAGAAAAAGGAAAACTCTATTATAGTAGAATAACTAACAGACATAGAGTAACAAAGTTTAAAAAATCACCACTTTGCAACCAGTCAGCGCTGACTGATACGGGCAAAAATAATCAACGGATACTAAAACCAGTGGGTTAAACTTTGATGAGGAGCAGGAAATTTATATAGTCTCAAAGTATCTTTCCAAAATTGCTTATTAATTTCAAAGGGGAAAATGCCCACTTTTTAGTGTAGACATCTGGTAGATACCACCTTAACTAAGATATCCAAGTACATATTATCAGACAAACAGACATCACGTTCCTCCTGATGTGATATATTGAGAAGGACACATCATTTTGGTGTTATTAGTAAGACTGAATCCTACCCTGAGGAAATACAAACACAAACTGAGGGATAATCTATAAAACAACTGGCCTGTATTCCTTAGAAATAACAAGGTCGTATTGTTCCGTATTCCCGGAAAAGGGAATTCTTTTGGATTCAAGGAGGCTAAAGAGATATGGCCAATAAGGTGACAGGTGCTCCTTTACTGGATGGATCTCAGAGTAGGGGGGAAACAGTGGCTATAATGGATGCTGAAATAAATAATAAATTTGAATATGGACTCTGGATTGAAGACAGTTTTTGTATTTCCCAATCCTGAGAACTAAGCTGTGGTTATATAAGAGGATATCCCTGAACTTAAGAAATACATACCAAAGTACTGCGGGGGCAACTCACTCTCAAATGATTCAGACAAACAATGGCGTGTGTGTATATGTGTTTAAGTCCATGTATGTACTCAGAGAGGTCGAGGAGCTAGAAGGCAAAGTGATAGGGTAAATGGGGAAAATGTAAAGGGTTGGTGAATCTGGATAAAGAGTATACTGGAATTATAAACAAATTATATCAAAGTGAAAATGTCAAAAATATTAAATACAAACATTTGAAATATCTCTCTTGGGGTTATGCTGTCCACTTGATAAACAGCTTGATTTCAACTGTTTCATTTTGCTTCTAAATTTTGGGGATTGATTTTTCCCCCCACATTAATTTAACCATAATGAAGGGGGTGGGAAAGAAGAAAACCAAACCAAGTAACTTTGGAAAATGATATTTTGATTATATACTGTAGGACTAATGACAACCCCCCCCCCCACATTATAGCCCAATATTATATATTGGTAAATTTATTTATGTTACATAGAATATGATTAGTAATTCTGCTACTTTATGTACAGACTAGGACTGAACAAATGAGTAAAAAAATATACTGTATTATCATGAGACTGAAATTTCTCAAAGCCAGAGAAAGGATTTACAAGTGAAGAAGAGAGCAAGGATGGAGTGAATCAGCAGCAACTCACGAAGGGTGAAGAGACATGGGCAAATACAGCCATGTGGTGTGAGTGCTTCTGTCAGTACACATACACGTATTTCCTAGCTCTGTCTGCTCACAGAATCTAGAAGCGCTAACACTCTAGTGGCAATGGGCACTCCTAGTAGCCAGATCTTGGTTGTTAAATGCCATTCTTGAATAAAAGGAAGCAGGGATCCTTGGAGAAACTGTCAATCCCATGGCTGTGGCAGGAAAAATGCAACATGAACCTGAACATCATGCGGTGCCAGAAAGGAAGGAAGTGCTCAAAACCTGACAGGTGCACATCAAAAGGACACAGGAGCCAACCTAAAGGACCTCCTAATGACCAAGTCTGAACAATAAAATAAATAATAAGAGTAATAGATTATAACCCATAAAATGAGTTCATACGGATATAAATAAATAAATGGGGAGAAGGGACAGCTGTTCTTTATAGAAATCCAATTAATAAGTGTATAAGAAATGACTGAAAGAGAAAATTGCCATTAGCCAAACCCCATGGTAGTAATTACTGAAGGCAAGAACCATTGATGGATGCTAAAATTAATAGGTGAAAGTAATGGTGAGAATCAGGATATGTATGGTCTCAAAATATCTCTTCCCAAGATACTGATTAAATTTAAAAGCAAAAACAGTTATTTTACAGTGAAGAAACCTGGCAGATACCACCTCAACCAAGTAATCAAGGTTATCATCGCAAGCAATAAGATGTATTAACATCATGTACCCCCTGAAATGATGCACGGAGGAGGACGTAACATCACTTCTATGATATTCTTGCCAAAAATATATAACCTCAAATCTAATCATGAGAAAACACCAGGCGGACACAAACTGAGAGACAGTTTGTCAGGACCCTTCAAAATTGTCAAGGTCATGAACGATAAGGAAAAGACAGGTGCTGCCACAGACTGAAGGAAGCTAAGGAGTCAGGATTTCTAAAGGAAATATGAGAATGTGCATTAGATCCTGGACAAGAAAAAGAACATTGGGAGGAAACTGAAGGAACATGAATAAGGTCCATAGATTTCTGTGTCAATGTTAATGCCCTTGTGTCAATAATTAGACTATGGCTTGCATAAAATGCTAACACTAAGGGAGGCTGGGAGAAGGGTCCTAGA